TCGGGGCCTACCGACTTAAAGGCATCCAGTTCTTCCAAGTGACTCTGCACCATCTCAGGGTCTACGCATGGCAGTCTGGTGCCTTCCTGCTGCCTCTCTACAACCCCAGTGAGAGACTTGTCCTGCCCCTCACTTAGAAACACTGAGGCAAAGAACTCGTTGAGGAGTTCAGCCTCGTCCCCCCTGTCCGTCACCAATTGTTTCTGCCCATTTAGCAGGGGTCCTATTCCTCCCTGGGCCTTCCTCTTACTCCCTATATATCTAGGGTGTTGGGCAGGGGCACAGGATTAGTGTGCCAGACTACCGTAGTTGTAGGGAGGGTAGCTGTGCTGCTAAGTGTCACAGGGAAGGCAATTAGTATACTAATTCTGGAGTAAAATTAGCACGGCTCTTTTTTTTTTTTGGGGGGGGGGGGGGGAAGGTTCTTTAGCAGACATGAATTTCACTCACAAACACTTCTCTCAAACTCAGTGAAACAAAAGCATTAAAGGAATTACTGCTTTGTATTAGTAGTGTTGGAGTGATGTTGTAGCCATGATGGTCTAGGAATTATGGAGAAGACAAGGATATTTGTGGATATCTTTTGCCAGGCCAACTGTATATGCATATAGTATCTATCTATATATATAGATATAGATATCTATCTATATACATATACAGTTGGTCCAATAAAAGATATCACCCTCAAAAATCCTTGTTTCCCTGTATTTTTATTATGCATAAATAGAGACCTATTTAATTTGTGGTTTCACAAATTTTGTGCAAACCACAAAATCTGGGATTTTCCATGAAATCAACAACCTCCTCCCCCACCCCCAACTTAATAAAGTAAAATGCTGGCTTCCCAATAGGTCCTCATGGCTGGGAGGTGAATGCACTGGCTGGCAGAAGAGCATGAAGGGCAGCACAAGAGATGGTGTTTGCCCCCTGCCAGGGTCCCTCCGCTAGTCAGCACCGAGGGGCAGGGTGGTATGAAGGGCAGCCAGCAATCAAGATGGTGGCCACCCCCTCCCGCCTTCTTCCCTTTGAGCCTCTCCACCAATCAGTGCCAAGGAGTGGGGCCACTGCAAAATACCTGCTAA